TCCACCATCTTGGCTACTCACATACTATCAGTGTAAATGCTACATCCTTCCAACCTTCCACCTGTTAGCACTTCCCTGGTTGGTCACCAGCAGACCGTTCTGGCCCAGGACACCTCCCTTTGTCTTCATTGGACAGGGATGAGGTGGGGTACCAAACAGCTGTATTGTGGAGGAATTCCACCATCTTGGCTACTCACATACTCTCAGTGTAAATGCTACATCCTTCCAACCTTCCACCTGTTAGCACTTGGCTGGTTGGTCACCAGCAGACCATGCTGGCCCAGGACACCTCCCTTTGTCTTCATTGGACAGGGATGAGGTGGAGTACCAAACAGCTGTATTGTGGAGGAATTCCACTATCTTGGCTACTCACATACTCTCAGTGTAAATGCTACATCCTTCCAACCTTCCACCTGTTAGCACTTCCCTGGTTGGACACCAGCAGACCATGCTGGCCCAGGACACCTCCCTTTGTCTTCATTGGACAGGGATGAGGTGGGTTACCAAACAGCTGTATTGTGGAGGAATTCCACCATCTTGGCTACTCACATACTCTCAGTGTAAATGCTACATCCTTCCAACCTTGCACCTGTTAGCACTTCCCTGGTTGGACACCAGCAGACCATGCTGGCCAAGGACACCTCCCTTTGTCTTCATTGGACAGGGATGAGGTGGGGTACCAAACAGCTGTATTGTGGAGAAATTACACCATCTTGGCTACTCACATACGCTCAGTGTAAATGCTACATCCTTCCAACCTTCCACCTGTTAGCACTTCCCTGGTTGGACATCAGCAGACCATGCTGGCCCAGGACACCTCCCTTTGTCTTCATTGGACAGGGATGAGGTGGGGTACCAAACAGCTGTATTGTGGAGGAATTCCACCATCTTGGCTACTCACATACTCTCAGTGTAAATGCTACATCCTTCCAACCTTCCACCTGTTAGCACTTCCCTGGTTGGACAGCAGCAGACCATGCTGGCCCAGGACACCTCTGTTTGTCTTCATTGGACAGGGATGAGGTGGGGTACCAAACAGCTGTAAAGTGGAGGAATTCCACCATCTTGGCTACTCACATACTCTCAGTGTAAATGCTACATCCTTTCAACCTTCCACCTGTTAGCAGTTGGCTGGTTGGTCACCAGCAGACCATGCTGGCCCAGGACACCTCCCTTTGTCTTCATTGGACAGGGATGAGGTGGGGTACCAAACAGCTGTATTGTGTAGGAATTCCACCATCTTGGCTACTCACATACTATCGGTGTAAATGCTACATCCTTCCAACCTTCCACCTGTTAGCACTTCCCTGGTTGGACAGCAGCAGACCATGCTGGCCCAGGACACCTTCCTTTGTCTTCATTGGACAGGGATGAGGTGGGGTACCAAACAGCTGTATTGTGGAGGAATTCCACCATCTTGGATACTCACATACTCCTTGTCTGAAGCCCGTTTCCAAATACACTTAGTATTCTGGCTAATAATCGATTGCCATTTTAGATGCTTTACTGAAAAAACATAGAAGCATAAAAAAACATGTTTTCTTCTGCCTCTCAATAACGTTTGCAACTCTTGTATCAACCCAGGGGGGTACTATTCAGCCTTCCCAGATTCAATTCCATTGCTACAAAACTACGGTACATTACTAAGGCAGCTAAACATTAGTGAGTAGGGAGATCTACCAAATCTGTCTCTGCAGTCCTTTTCATAGGGTTGGGCATTCATGTTTTTCACTAGTTCACTGGAAAGCTCTAACAGCATACAGGTCCAGCCATACTCTCTCAGACCTCTGCTCAGAATGGAAGAAAACCAATGGAAAACAGTCATTACATCGATGGGAGACTATCCGGCCAATCTGATACTCAAAGAATGTACATTGGTTCCCTCTTTTTTGGACAAAGGAAAGGGAGTGAGGAGCTATGGGGCCAGTGCATGGACTAGTTTGCCTAAATGAACCTGAATTAGCCTTAATGACCTAGGTGAACCTAAAAGCCTTGAAGTGAATCTGTCACCCATTAAAAATCAGTGTTAGGTATGCCAAGTGGTGTTTTCTATTTCCTCTTCTGCATTCATGTCATAAAATGGTTTCACCTTTCTAGAAAGTGCTTGATTTTCCTGGCTTCAAGGTCAAACCTTGCTTACCCACCCACCATCCTCCCAGTCAAAAGGGAATTGTAGCCACTAAGACACTCTAACTCTCAGGAGCTCTTACTGGACTAGAAAATACCAAAGTGAAACAAGATTCAGGAAGCATACTAAAGTGGTTTTCTGCAAATATTACAGATATTCCATATATCTATGCTGATGAAATACTTGTAACATATGGGTGATGTTGCAGCTCTCTGCTCTGGTGTCCCAGAAGTTTTCAAGAAATTGGTTATGGACATCTTTTAAAACCAGAGTATCAGTATTAGGTTACCTGTCCCCCACTGGCCAATTGGTAAAGAGTATGTTTGGTAGAATTCTTATGCCATTTTATTCCATGATATTTAAGGTCAACCAATTAACCCGTACGGTCGAACCTATCCAGAGGAAATGATCCAGACTGGAATCTCACCAATAGACGTCATGAACAGCATTGCCCGAGGGCAGAAAATTCCGATCTTCTCTGCAGCAGGTCTCCCCCACAATGAGGTAATGTGGTGGACGTGTCATTGGAGGCTTTGTATAGGTAGAATGCAGCATGGTGATACCTCTGTATTCTAGAGTTCAAAATATTGTGCACCATAGTGGTCACCATGGAGGTCACTAGCAGGTATGGTCTCCTTGCCCATGAACAGGTACAAGATTGTGCTGGATTCCTTATTGTAGATCATCTATTGAATGCGTAGTGACTTGTGTAATCCTTCTTTATTTATAAAGTAACATTCTAAAGTTTAAAACCTTTACACTTTTCAGTTGAAAAAAAATTCTTTATACATAATATTTCCTACCTTTTTTGGGGTCTTATAACCAGTCACATGATGTGCTTGGGTCTTCTTTCTCTTCTACCTATGGCAGCATCTAGCTGTCTTCACTATCACAGAGAACAGAACTGATGTTATGACACTATCCCAGATGTCCTCAGTATTTTATATTGAGTCCAGTCCAAAAGATACAGTAACTCCCCCTGGAATGTTTTGGTGTCAACCTGGGTTTACAGAAAGTTGGTTAAATGACTCTGGCCAATAGAAAGTGGGCGAAAGGAATTTCTGAAAGTGATAGAGTTGGTAGCAATGTGTATATTGCATTTTTTATTTTTAAAATATCCGGATTTGCTATTTAAAAAATAAAAATAAGAATTAAAATAAGCTGGGGATATGCTTTAGGGCTCCTTTTCACAGGTTTACCGAGATAATCTTAATTGCATTGCTGAAACAAATTTTGTTGTGTACAGAGCTCAATAGCTTTCAAAGCCAGGTCTTCCAGCAGCACATTATTGGTCGGAGGAGAGAATGCCCCTTTAAACACAGTGGCTAAATGGTTAGCACTTCCGCCTGGCAGTACTAGGGTCGTTTCCAGTTCGAATCCCAGCCACAGCACCACCTGCCTGGAGTTTGCATGTTCACCCTGTGCCTGCAGCAGCACAGTGATGAGCTGATCTCTGTGTCACATTGCCATCTCCTCCTGTCATGCTCCTTGATATCACCAGACTGTACAGTTCTATGAAGCAGGATGGCAGTGGGCTTAAACGCTGTGCTGCCACATATACGGCACCACCTGCCTGGAGTTTGCATGTTCTCCCTGTGCCTGCGTGGGTTTCCTCTGGGTACTCCGGTTTCCTCCCACATTCCAAAGACATGCTGGTAGGTGCATTGGCTCCTGTCTAAATTGTCCCTAGTATGTGTATGTATGAATGTGAGTTAGGGACCTTAGATTGTACACCCCTTGAGGGTTAGGGACTGATGTGAATGTACAGTATACAGTATATGTAAAGCCCTGCGTAAATTGACAGCGCTATATAAGTACCTGAAATAAATAAATAATAAATAAACTGGTGGTCAGTAGGAAGAATTTTCTGCAAAGTATTGGTCAGTGAGAAGAATGACCACCCAAGTGCCTTTTTTTAAAAAATAGCTAAAAAGGCATTTGGTATCTCTGGTACTTTTCCTAGATGCAGAAACTGCTAATTTTCAATTACAACCTTTGAAAGAACTCCAGGATTCCACAGAACCCTGGTTAAGAAAGGCTGCTTGAATATAAGAAGAAGGGGGAAAGCATTGAGTCTTCAGCCGTATTTAAAGATCTCAACTTCTTCTTTTGTGGATTATGAGGATGACAGGGGCGGACTGACCATTTGGAAACTCGGGCACCGCCCGAGGGCCCGGGGTCAGTAGGGGGCCCCATGAGATGCCCCTGGTACCTTTTTCATAGGCTTTTTTGAGTTTGGGCAAGGACTCAGGGGCCCCATGATCCCCTATTGCCCGGGGGCCCCATGAGTTGTCCTGTGCTTGTCCAGCAAATTAGTCTTTTGAAGAAATTTTCTTCTCCTTTGTATAATATCTTGAGGTTGTTGTTGTTGGCCATGTGTTCTGCCCCTCTTCCAGATAGCTGCTCAGATCTGCAGACAGGCCGGCCTGGTGAAGAAGTCTAAGGATGTGATGGACTACCATGATGACAACTTTGCCATTGTCTTTGCTGCAATGGGCGTAAGTGACGATTCACCTTAAGAGCTTTTATTGGCATTTATTCTTTTGCAATTTTTTATGGGCATTGCTTTTTAAAGTAATATTTTACCTCCTCCTCCTATGGGACCCATTTTCCACTCTCTTTGATGTTTACTCAGGGCATTAAACCTAATTGTAAATAGTATATGATGGCAATATGTTCAGATGATTGTTTAAATAAATATTCACTAATGCCAAACTCTATGGGAAGGCACCAGTATCACTGGAAAGATTTCTTTTATATAGAGACCATGTGAACAGGGACGTCATTGAATGCTAGCTATCTTGTCTCCTGACAGGTCAATATGGAGACTGCCAGGTTCTTTAAATCAGACTTTGAAGAGAACGGCTCAATGGACAACGTATGCCTTTTCCTAAACCTGGCCAATGACCCAACGTGAGTAGATGGAAATGAGGACACATTCATACACACTGGAGGATTGCCTTAAACTAAAAGTACCCAGAATCTCTTTGGGCAGATATAGAGAAAAAACCATAGGGCTTAAAATCCAGACTTTCTTTACCAAAATCCCACACTGACATACAGGTATATGAAACACCTTAGTCCTGAGCAAGGGGGGTTTAAAGTTTAACTGTATCCAGGCTATGGAAATATAAATAAGTACTAAGCTTTAAAACAAACCCTCACTAACCCCTTGTAGCTGCAAGCACCGTGAAGCAATTCATCCTCATAATTTGCAATAGAAACAGTTATGTCTTTCAAGTTCAAGCTCTGAATTCTACTCACTTCTCTTTATTGTACACCTTCTTTGTGTTTATATTTAAGCAGCCTTTCTTAACCAGGGTTCCTTGAACAATGAGCAATTTCTGCATCTAGGAAAAGTAATCAATGATACCCAGGGGCGGACTGACCATTTTGAAACTTGGACACTGCCCGAGGGCCTGGGGTCAGTAGGGGGTCCCATGAGATGCCCCTGGTACCTTTTTCATAGGCTTTTTTGAGTTTGGGCAAGGTCACAGGGGCCCCATGATCCCCTATTGCCTGGGGGCCCCATGAGTTGTCAGTTTGCCCCTGATGATACCAATTGCCCTTTTATCTATTGTTAAGAAAAAGGGGTGACATTCTGCTCTCTGACCAATACTTTAAAGAGCATTCTTTCCACTGTAAGCTGCTGAGAGAACATGAGAGTGTTTTTTTTTGTAAGTTGTAAGGATGAGTTGCTCCACAGTGCCTGCGGATGCAGGGGTCATCAAGGGTTTGTTTTAAAGTTTGTTCACTGTACGTTAATAATACGTGAATGTCCATAGACTGACCACAATTCTACTTTAGGTGTGAGGGGTACACTAAGGCTGCATTCACGCCTGCATGCTCCAGTAACATGGGCAGAAATGTGTGTCACGCTTGCGGTGCCATTGTTAATGGAGCCCCAAACATGGCTAGCAACTGCACGCTTTGCCATCCTAAAACACCTGGTATAAACAGGACAAGCTCTGCGTCTGAAAAAAGTGCAGATTCTTTGGCGTGTATGTTGCTCATAGGGCAGCCCATTCAAATGAATAGGTGGCCCTTTGCTGTTGTGTGAAAAATGAAGAAAGCACATTTGCAAAACATGAAAAATGAATTGGGCCTTAGTGTTACGTTTTAGATGTCAAGGAGTGTAGATGAACCCTTTAGGCACCTTTTTCAGTGCAAGAAACTCCAAGATAAATATTGGTTCTCAGGACTGAGACACTCAAAGTACTTGATATATTAGGGGCTGCATATTTTGGAGTTGGTTTTGCATATAGACAGGATCTATGTTTCCAGCTTATAACATTCTGAACACAGAAACAATAAACAGCAACGTCCACTACCTTAAACTCAATCTTTCAAAAACTGAGCTTGTAATATTTCCTCCCCCCCCCCCGATCCCCCACTCATGACTTTACCATTAAGATCAACAGCACAGCCATTGGTCCTTCCCCTCATGCCAGGGTGCTAGGTGTAATCCTAGACTCTGATCTCTCCTTTGGGCCCCACATCCACTCACTGGCTAAATCCTGCCGCCTCAACCTCCGGAACATTTCCAAAATCCGCCCCTTTCTGACCAATGACACCACAAAACAACTTATCCACGCATTGGTTATATCCCGCCTCAATTACTGCAACTCCCTCCTCACTGGTCTACCGTTACACAGGCTATCCCCCCCTCAGCCTATTATGAATGCTGCTGCTAGACTCATACACCTTACCAACCGATCAGCGACTGCTGCCCCTCTCTGCCAATCCCTTCACTGGCTTCCATTAACCCAACGTATAAAATTCAAAATACTAACCACAGCTTACAAAGCCATCCACACAACACTGTCCCTAGCTACATCACCAACCTCATCCACAGATACCGCCCAAATCGCCCACTCTGCTCCTCCCATGATATCCTCCTCTCTAGCTCTCTCATCACCTCCTCCTACGCTCGCCTCCAGGACTTCTCCAGAGCCTCTCCCATCCTCTCGAACTCCCTACCACAGCATGTCCGGTCAGCCCCCACCCTGTCTGCCTTTAGGCGATCTTTGAAAACTCACTTCTTCAGGGAAGCCTACCCCACCTCCACCTAAGAACTGTACTTGAATCACCTCCACCAGATCATCCCCCGCAGCTATCACCTTTTGTACCACCTTCCTTTAGATTGTAAGCTCCATGAGCCGGGCCCTCACATTCCTTCTGTACTGAAATGTATTGTAATTGTACTGTCTCCCTTATATTGTAAAGCGCTGCGCAAACTGTTGGCGCTATATAAACCCTGTATAATAATAATAATAACTTCTGACCTTTTTATATATATATATATATATATACAGACACATTAGCACACATGTAGTGCGTACAGTGTCCTGTGTCACAAACTTTAATCTACATGTTTTGACCAATAGGACGTCATCAGGGGATTGGAATATTCCACTTCCTCCCTAATAAATAACCTCCACTACATTGTAATCCAGCCTGAGGTGCTGCATATCTGTAGAGAGAACTCAGGAAATGTTCCATAGATTGTATGATAAATAAAACTCTGCAATACCGCATTAAAGTGTGTTTTACTCAAAGGTAGTGCAAGATGAACACAACTGAAAGTTTTCATCTCCCTGCAAATTTGGCTAAAATTAGGAGAATTAAGCCAAATTTTGACAGTTTCTCAAAATGTATTAGGATCAATGGAGTAGGTGAAATGGTAAACAAATTTGGTGATTTTCAAGGGATAAAATGGGCCTTAAATGCTTCCTGAAGGTTCTAGAAGGTCCTTTCAAGTATTTTGAGCCTTTTCTGGTGCCAAAAATGCCCCTTATGAGCCTCATTAGTTTATGTTTTGATCACAGAACATAAAAATGGACAGTAAAAAAAATAAAAGAATGAGGCTAATGAAGGATCATTGTTTCTCAGCTTGGAGAGGCTTAGAAGAACTGCTGGTGAAAACCCAAACCTCTGCAATATATAACATCTGCCACTGAGTGTACACCTGTATAGTCACACTGATGTATATCTTTTACTTACCTGTAACTCCAGGTATGTGGGACCCATATAGGTATTAGTGGTATGATCAAGATAACAAAGTCTTGTCTGTCCTCTTCTCTTAGAATTGAGAGGATTATCACCCCGCGTCTGGCACTCACAGAAGCCGAGTACCTTGCCTATCAATGTGAGAAACACGTCTTGGTGATCCTGACAGACATGAGCTCCTACGCGGAAGCCCTGCGAGAGGTAACATATCTGACTGCTGCAGAGTCATTGTGGTTTTTCTTGTTTTTAGGCCAAATCCACCCAAAATTGTTTTTTTTTTCTTGTGTATGGATCTTCTTAAGATGACTCTTAACTCAAGGACACCAAAGACCTTCCTCCTATGAAAAGGGAGGGGAATTTCCCCAACAAGGTCCCAGAGAGCAACCCTGGCAGGGCACATACTTTATTATTATTATTATACAGGATTTATGGCGCCAACAGTTTGCTCAGCGCTTTACAATATAGTGGGAGACAGTACAGTAACAATACAGTTCAATACAAGAGGGATTTGAGGGCCTGATCCTTGGAGTTTACAATCTAGGAGGGAGGGGCTAGTAGTACAATAGGTAATAACTGTGGGGGATGGACTGGTTGGAAGAGTAGAGCATTCCAGTATTAGCAGAGGGCAGGATAGGCTTCCCTGAAGAGATAGGTTTTCAGTGATCGCCTAAAAGTAAGTAGAGTAGGCGATAGTCTGATAAATTGGGGTAGGGAGTTCCAGAGGATGGGTGATGCCCTGGAAAAGTCTTGGAGACAAGCATGGGAGCTAGAGAGTAGGAGGTCTTGCGAGGAGCGGAGAGTACGGTTTTGGATGATATTTGGAGACAAGATCAGTGATGTAATTTTGGGCAGTGTTATGAATGGCTTTATATGTCATTGTTAGTAATTTGAATTTTATCCGTTGGGCAACTGGGAGCCAGTGGAGGGATTGGCAGAGAGGGGTGGCAGATACAGAACGGTTAGTAAGGTAGATGAGTCTGGCAGCAGCGTTCATGATAGACTGGAGTGGGGATAGCCTGCGATGAGGTAGGCCAATGAGGAGGGAGTTACAATAGTCGAGGCGAGATATAATAAGGGAGTGAATAAGTTGCTTAGTGGTTTCCCGGGTTAGGAACGGTTGTATCTTGGTGATGTTGGGAGGTGAAGTCTACATGATTTTGTCAGCGATTGGATCTGGGGCCAGAAGGACAGATGTGAGTCTAGGATTACACCTAGTACCCTGGCATGAGGGGATGGACTGATGATTGTGTTACCGATATTTATGGTGAAGTCAGTGGTGGTGGCGCGGGATGGGGGGAATACTAGGAGCTCAGTTTTGGAAAGGTTGAGTTTGAGGAAGTGGAGTGACATCCATGCCGATATGTCACTTAGTAGGCTGAAGAGTGGAGACTGAAGGGGTGAGGTGAGGGGTAGACAGATAGATTTGCGTGTCATCAGCATAGAGATGGTACTTGAAGCCGTGGGAGTTTATCAAGTGACCAAGGGAGGAGGTGTAGATGGAGAAGAGAAGCGGTCCAAGGACAGAACCTTGAGGGACCCCTACAGAGAGGAGGAGTGAAGAGGAGGTGGCAGTATTATAGGTAACACTGAAGGAGCGCTGCGATAGTTAGGAGGAGAACCAGGAGAGAGCGGAGTCTCTGAGGCCAAGAGAGTGTAGTTTTTTGAGGAGGGGATGGTCAACTGTGTCAAAAGCCGCAGAGAGGTCAGGTAGTAGGAGTATTGAATAGTGGCCATTGGTTTTAGCAGTTAGTAGATCATTAGAGAGTTTTAGTAGGGCAGTTTCAGTGGAGTGTAGAGGGTGAAAGCCAGACTGTAGGGGGGTCGAGAAAGTTGGTTGTCGGTGAGGTGGGAGCTCAGACGATTGTAGACTAAGCGTTCTAGGAGTTTAGAGGTAAATGGCAGCAGGGAGATGGGTCTTAGATTGTTCAGGTTGGTGGGGTCAAGGGAGGGTTTTTTTAAGTATGGGAGTGATGTACGCGTGCTTTTAGAGGGGAGGGGAATGCACCTGTAGAGAGGAAAAGATTGAAGATGTGAGTGAGGGAGCATAGAATGGAAGAGGAGGGTGACCGAAGGAGTTGTGAGGGGACAGGGTCCAGGGGGCAGGTGGTGAGGCGGGCTTCTGAGAAGACCTTAGTGACCTCTTTGGTGGTAGCGAGGTCAAAGGAGGAAAGTGTTGAGGGGGGTATAGTATGAGGAATGCTAAGTGGGGGTGGGTGTCTGTGTAGTGGCGATGTCCCTACGAATTGCATCAGTCTTGTTTTTGAAGTGGTTTGCAATCTAGTGGGCAGTGAGTGAGGTGCTGGGTGGCGGTGGAGGCGGAGAAAGTAGAGAGTTAAAAGTAGAGAAGAGCCGACGAGGACTGGAAGAGAAGTTATTAATGAGAGTGACAAAGTAGGCTTGTTTAGCAGCGTGAAGGGAGGAAGTGTATGTTAGGAAGGCAGATTTATAACGTGTGAACGTTTGGTGGGATTTGGTTTTACGCCATAATCGCCCCCAGCGCGCGACTGTGTCATTTTAGATTTTGGGTGTGGTCAGTCTGCCAAGGTTGTAGCGGTCAGGGCCTGGTGCTTCGTGTTGTTAGGGGAGGAAGCGAGTCTCTGTCATAGAGTTGGCCATTTGCAGAGTGGAAGGGAGCCAGGTTCAACTTTCGGAGAATTCTGCTGGTAATTTTTGCTGTTTGGAGGGATAGGTGTTAGAGGACGAGGAGACTGTGAAGGTGATGAGATTGTGATCAGACAGGGGAAAGGGGGTGTCTGTGAGGTTATAGGGAGTACAATGGTGAGAGAAGACAAGGTCTAAGGTATTCCCGTTGGAGTGAGTGAAGGACTGTATACACTGTGCTAGTTCACAAGAAGAGGTTATGTGGAAGAGTTGGGATGTAGCCAGGTTATTGACGTTAATAGGGATATTGAAGTCTCTGAGGATGATAGTGGGTAGCTCAGAGGAAAAAAAGTAGGGTAGCCGGGCGGGGAAGTCATCAAGAAAGCGGGACACCGGTCCAGGAGGCCGATAGATCACTGCAATCCTCAGAGAGATCGGAGAGAACAGCCGGATGCAGTGGGTCTCGAAAGAAGAGAAGGATAGAGAGGGAGGGCTAGGGAGGACTTGAAAGGTGCTCAGTGGTGACAGAAGTAAACCAACCCCGCCTCCTTTCCGTCCACTGGGTCTGGGTGAGTGGGCCAAGATGAGGCCTCCATAGGAGAGTGTTGCAGGGGAGACAGAATCTGCTGCTTGGAGCCAGGTTTCGGTGAGTGCTAGAAGGTTAAGGGAGCTGGAGATGAAGAGGTCGTGGATAGAGGTGAGCTTATTGCAGACCGAGCGGGCGTTCCAGAGTGCACATGAAAACGGGAGGGTGGTTTTGGGGAGCAAGGGGACAGATATAAGATTGAGGGGATTGCGGTAATTCCCGGAAGAAAGAGAATGTCTTGTCTTCATTGTGTCCAAAACTAAAATAAAGTAAAAAAAAAAACCTTTGGCTTGAGTTTAGCATAAAGTCAATGACCAAGCTGGGAGAAATTCACTCATTGGCAAGTGTTCTCACTTCGGAACGCTGACAGGAAATTTTTTGGTTGATTGTACACTGGGTACCTGATAATCTTCTTGGTATTTGGTCTTGCAGGTATCAGCGGCCCGGGAAGAGGTACCTGGTAGGAGAGGGTTCCCCGGGTACATGTACACAGATTTGGCCACCATCTATGAGCGAGCCGGCAGAGTGGAGGGCAGAACCGGCTCCATCACACAAATCCCCATCCTAACCATGCCCAATGACGGTGAGTTCCCACATCCCGGCAAGCTTTCCTTGTTCCACTTTTCTTCTAAAGTCTGACCTGTCTTGTCTAGTATAACAATCTGCTTACAAGTACAAACTGAACTTAGATCAGTAGTTCAGGTATGGGTCATATGGGTGCATTCAATTTCAATGCCAATATTTTTTTTAAATAGTTTTGGCCATTATTATTGATGTAGCGCTACAATTGTTTGTTGTGCTAATCTTTTTTTGCCATGATAATAGGGTTAAGGGCTAGGCCAGTTGTAATATAGTAGAACATACCTGTTGTAATTCCCCGAAGTGGTGAGCGGTCAGTGCACTGGCTTGTAGTGTCCTCCTAACACCCGAGCAAACGTGTCGGTGAAAGAAAGCCGGCAGCTCGATCTTCAATCTAAAATATTTATAATATTGAAAATATTAGAGGGCTTACAGATTTCAGCATGTAGCCTTAATCATAGCCATAGGTTCAAGGTATAGAGGAATGATAGTCCCCTTTTGTTTGGCTCTACCCCCCCCCCACCCTCCTGCACCCCTATTTCCATTATTATGTCACGTGTGCAGAGGTGCTGAAGGATTCTGCCCAGCCTTCGGGTCCTGGCATAGCCCTTCAGTACATCGGCACATGTGCAAGAGATTTCTCATGCACATGCAAACATGGCAAATGTTTGAAACTTCCATAATAGCCAACTTTGGTGCATTTGCGGGAAGGTCACACAAGGCTATGTCAGGGCCTGAAGCCCTACAGCACTTCTTCGAATGAGCAGAATCTAGGAGAGGGGTGATGAGACCCCCCAATGTTAAAGGCGTGGCCAGACACACACCCTCACCTTTGCTGTAGTAGAACTGTGTAAGGACACTTGTGATAAGGGGGTGTGGCCATTACTCAGCTTTGTCGGCACAGAACTCTGCAGCCTGAGGACAGGAAGTCACATATAAGGCTTCATGTAGACGTGACATTTGGAAAACACTTCTGAACGATGGAAACTGATGCTGGAAAATGTAGGTTAAAAAAACGTCTGTTTAGCTACGTTTGCATACCGCATTTATGAGCGTTTGCGGTTAGAAGCGTTTTTTAAAGATAACCTCAGGAGACCTTCCAAAATGCCCAGAATGCACTGAAAAAAAATCTCTGAAATAGAGAGAGCAGAAGCAGAGAGAGCAGTATTTGTTGAGATTAGCTGTCTTTTTTTTTTCTCTGATAGTGTTTGGCTGTGTTCCAGCTCATTTCTGTGCAGAAACTATTGCAGCAGTGTCTAACATGTTTCCTTTCATGCAAAACCTCAAAGTATGGTGTACCAGCAGTGGCGTCCCTAGGGTGGTGCGGAGGGTGCGGGCCGTACTGGGTGACACCATTACAGGGGGTGCAGGAGCAGGATGCCAGCACAGTGACAGCTGCCCCCGCCCCGGTGTAGTGGTAAAATGAATATCCCCTGAAGCAACTGTTGAGCCTCATCAGTGCAGGTTATCAGTGCCCATCAGTGTAGCCCATCAGTGCTGACTCATCATTGCCAATCAGTACAGCTTATCAGTGCCTTTCAGTGCCGCCCCATCAGTGCAATCTCATCAATGCCCATCAGTGCCGCCTCACCAGTACCCAGCAGTGCCACCTCATCAGTGCAGCCTCATCAATGCCCATCTGTGCAGCCTCATCAATGCCCATCAGTGCTGCCTAATCAGTGCAGCCTCATCAATGCCCATCTGTGCAGCCTCATCAGTGCACATCAGTGCAGCCTCATCAATGCCCATCAGTGTCGCCTCATCAGTACCCAGCAGTGCCGCCTCATCAGTGCAGCCTCATCAATGCCCATCCGTGCAGCCTCATCAATGCCCATCAGTGCCGCCTCACCAGTACCCATCAGTGCCGCCTCACCAGTACCCAGCAGTGCCACCTCATCAGTGCCGCCTCATCAATGCCCATCTGTGCAGCCTCATCAATGCCCATCAGTGCCGCCTCACCAGTACCCAGTAGTGCCGCCTCATCAGTGCAGCCTCATCAATGCCCATCCATGCAGCCTCATCAGTGCACATCAGTGCAGCCTATCAATGTTCATCAGTGCAGCCTCATCAGTGCCGCCTCACCAGTACCCATCAGTGCCGCCTCATCAGCGCACATCAGTGCAGCCTCATCAATGCCCATCAGTGCCACCTCACCAGTACCCAGCAGTGCCGCTTCATCAGTGCAGCCTCATCAATGCCTATCCGTGAAGCCTCATCAGTGCACATCAGTGCAGCCTATCAATGCCAATCAGTGCAGCCTCATCAACACACATCAGCGAAGAAGAAAATGTACTTATTTGCTAAATTTTATAACAGAAACTAAGAAAACTTTTTTTTTTTTAATTTTCAATCTATTTTAATTTGTTTAGCAAAAAATAAAAAACCCAGTGGTGATTAAATACCACCAAAGAAACCTCTATGTGTGTGAAAAAGTTATGAAAATTTAATTAGGGTACAGCGTTGCATAACCGCGCAATTGTCATTCAAAGTGTGAGAGCGCTGAAAGCTGAAAATTGGCCTGGACAGGAAGGGGGTGAAAGTGCTCGGTGTTGACGTGGTTAAAAAGTTTAACTGGCACTTACATTTCTTGCAGCATTCTTCAATGCCTATAACACACACAAATAAAAAAGGATCATGCCAAATTAACCTCAATATCTTATTACTTTTTACCCAATTGCAGATATCACTCACCCCATTCCTGACTTAACTGGGTTCATCACTGAAGGACAGATCTACGTAGACAGACAACTTCACAACAGACAGGTCAGTTTATCATTTTATATACATTTCAATTGGAGGGCTTCCTTAACCCCTTCACTCCGTCCGTACGCAAATGTGCGGCCTCCCGGAGTCTGGGCCTAGACGCCGAGCGGCTGCACATTTGCGTTCATGTAGCAAAAAACATATGTGCTGAGAGCGCGCGCCCTGCGCGGTCCCAGCACACATGTGAGGTACTCACAGAAAGGTCCCGGTCCGCTTTTTCGATCGGGACCTTTCCCGATCATGTGACCGGCCGTGACGTCACGGCGGCCACATGACACTAAGCCACGCCCCGTCCCACCCACCTCCCGACGCAGGAACTCCTCTTCACGCCGGGACGATCCAGCGTGAAGGGGTTAAAGCTGAACTCCGGGATAAGCAAATATCATCTAAATCCATTCATCATGTGTATTCTTCCTCTTGGTGAGCTTTGTGTATTTCTTCCAGATCTGTGCACTAATCCAGGGTGAGACTTTCCCTTCCTGTAATACAGACCGCTCACTGCTGCTCTCTCTCCTTGCGCAGGGTGACTGGTCTTGTCTCCGCCCCCTCCTGTAGTTTTCTGCAGGCAGCCTGCTCTCTGCACAGGCTATGTACAGCACAGTGATGATGTCACCTCTACTTTTCAGGACAATATCTGGGTTGGCAAAGGCTTCTGGTGCACAAAAGAGTGGATTTCTATCCTTTGTGGCTATTGAGGAATGTATTTGAATAAACATTGGTCAGATTTAAAGTCCACCACACAAACATATTTTACATTTTGAAAAATTTGGTTTGGTCCTGATGGGCTGAGTTGGCCCGTCATTTTATATGTCTCAGATAATTCAACAGTGAAGTCTTAATTCCTGACCACCTAGAAGATTTGACAGTTCCCACTCACGTTCTGTCTTCCTCTAACATCCTTCATACTATAAAGTAAATAATAATCCAGCAGAGATGGTGGGAACCCTCCTAATATTCACAACAGGTATCCAGACTCAACATTTAGTGGACTGGCCTTTTAACCAACTCTTCATCATCTGGTGATTTTACATTGACAATAATAAACATTGAGTTCATTTTTTTCCTCCTCAGATCTACCCCCCTATCAATGTGCTTCCATCACTATCCCGTCTTATGAAGTCCGCCATTGGAGAAGGCATGACGCGAAAAGATCATGGTGATGTTTCCAACCAACTGGTATGCAAATCCTTGGCTCCGGAATTATCTACATCTGCCAGACTACAATTTTTGTCAGCATTGTGTATGCTTTTTCGTGAGGAACAGGTCCACAAACCAAAACCGGGGTGGAGGCTTTGATCTTCCTGGATCTCATTTGGTTACATTTTCCTACTAGAGTTAAGGCTGCCGTACACAGGTCCAATTTACGCTGACTCCTGCTGAATTGGACGAAACTCAAAGCATGGGTACCCCTGTTGGCAGCACTTGGCTCTCCAAAAGTTGATTGTTAAATCAAATTTTGTCAAAGGAGCCAGGTGGAAAATTGTCAGTTGAATAGTGACTACATCCAGCCAGATGCAGGTACTGTTCAGAATATAATGGCAGGGGATTCCTCAACCCACATTGTTCAGCATGGATAGGGGAATCTTTTAGATCCTTTTTGTTCATCCTGAAGGCCACCCATTGCTCTGTTCCTCATCTACAGGGTATCTCCACTTCAACATTCCAAAATATTTTTTAAAAAAGTTGAGTTTGCCACAGTAGCTGGGTGGGGTTGGGAGCTCCAGAGCATAGGCTTCAACCTTGGAGTCCTAGAGAAAATCTAGTGTGTAATGCCAGATATACATTCAAACCAGTATTATTTCATCAATATTGTAATATTGATTACTTCTATAATAACTAAATATTTTTAGTAAAACACTAAGTTGGCTGTATTCTGTACCGATATCTATAGACAGGTTGGGGGGACTGGCCCTTTCAATATAGCTCCATGCTATCGGTTGGCCAAGTGAACCTAATATTGATTAGATACCTCTACCACCACAATCGCCACCTTCAACTTTTCCGATGATTGAGCTCACGACCTAAACTAATATTTATTTAATCAACATTGTAACATTGGTTACTTCTATGATAACTATAACTTTTAATGATTACTAAATATTTTTAGTAAAACACTAAGTTGGCTAGGTTCTGTACTGATTTTTATAGACAAATTGGGGGGACTGGCCCTTTCAATATAGCTCCATGATATCCGTTGGCCAAGTGCACCTATAATATTGATTAGATACCTCTACCACCACATTCACTGCCTTTGGCTTTTCGATGATTGAGCTCACGGGGGACAACATAACAAGGACAAAAGGGGAAAATTATACTTACAAATGCAAACTTTCTTGACTTGCCTAGATATTTTACAGAGGTGTAGTATATTTGCCCTTACTTTTAAATTTAACTCCTCTAGTCTTGGCATAGGATATCATTTAATTTGCTTAAAGCCCAACTCCAAGATATTAGAAGTCCCTTTCCCACCCCTCCCTCCCATCTCCTCTAGCTTGCCGATGAATAAAAAAGACCTATCCAAATGTTAATTTGCTTACCTGAAGCTGCGGTCACATGATGATCCTTTCTCTTCTGCTGTTTACTTCCTGGGTTTCTTCTTCAGGTGTCAACCTCGCTATCTGCATAACGTGCACACCTCCTATTGGTGGAAGAGACATTTTTAGCGTCAGGGTCTTCTCTCATTGGCTCCAGAGACAGGAGGACTCATGGGTGCAGTGGGGGGACCTATGCCCAAGAAGATAAGGAGTAGGGAAAAATGTCTGGTCCCCAGGGCAGGATGTTAGCTTTGTTCTAGAGAAAACTCTGACTTTAATCCATTGCAATGCAGGGTGGCTTAGAAAGAGGTGTTTGGAATCAAGACTGGGGAGTAAGGTAAATTATGCAAAAAGTACTTTTTAAATTTAATTTTTTCATGGAGTTGGTCTTCAAAATTTGGGATCACCTAAAGGCAGACAAGGTTAGGAGATAGACAGGGAGTTGCAGAAGATGGGAGAAGTTCTGGAGAAGTCATGGGAAGGGATGACAAGAGTGCTAGACAGAAGGAGGTCTTGGAAGGAACAGAGACAACGGTTTGGGTTATTTTTTTGAGACAATATGGTGATGTAGCTGGGGGCAGAGTTGTGGATGGTTTTGCATATTGTTAGTATTTTGAATTTTCTTATGTTATGTGAACAGTAGTCATTCTGTAAGAAGGGCTCTGTGATTGCTTAGAATTGGTGCCAAGAGCACAAGTCCCTACTCTTCCTGCTGTCCCGTTGGAACACTGTTCTCCCTGCTGAGGCGAACCCTCCACCATTTTTGCCTCACTCCATGCCTGAGACCTCCACAGACATTCCCAGCCATTAAACTTTACATCCCCAAAGGAAGCAATGCCATCACAAGAAAAGTAGTTTTGCTGTGCTCAGGGGCGGACTGACAACTCATAGGGCCCCCGGGTAATAGGGGATCATGGGGCCCCTGTGTCCTTGCCCAAACTCAAAAAAGCCTATGAAAAAGGTACCAGGGGCATCTCATGGGGCCCCCTACTGACCCCGGGCCCTCGGGTAGTGCCAGAGTTTCCAAATGGTCAGTCCGCCCCTGGCTGTGCTATACTGATAGCATTTAGGGAATGGCATAACAGTTGCATCACATCAACATACAGTCCAGAGTCACTTGACGTTACACAGTCAAGCACATTTAGTGGACAGTCCGCAGTAGTCTTGTGAGTGTGAAAGCATATGCAGCACTTTCAGCAACCATCTCGGAGTCATTAGCACTCACAGGACTGGACTCTCTAGTCACCTCTTCCTTAGGTATATCTCCCCCGGGAACCTCCAGGGAAGTAGCCTCACTCAGGGAACTCTTGGCCTGGTCTAAAAGGCTTGTTGAAATCTGCCCTAGTCCCCACCTCCATAAAGGTCAGAAAGTCTACAACAGGCTCTTCTGGGTGCATGTCTACTCCTACCAGGCCTCCTGCCCTGTCCAAGGCCTACACGTGCTGGTTGCATCTGTGCTGGTGTAGGGTGTTTGGCTCCCATGACCCAATGCACAAGTGCTTTCTCCATCTTGGCCTACAATTGGGCCCTAACTCACCCATGACATCACTACAGGAGGGCTGTAACTAAAAGGGGCCTAGCACCGGATGACACCATCTGCTGTAACCAGGCACTATTCTGGCACAGAGCCAGACTAGATAGCTGCCTACAAGCGGAGGGATTACCGGAGAGGGGTGACAGACATTGAACAATTTTATATTGGTCTGCTCTTGTCACAAAGCTCCACCCCCTCCCGAAGGTGTAGTGGCAGTAGCCAGATATCGAACTGCTATTATTATAGAAACGGATCGTCATCACATCTAGTAGTAGAAATGCCAATTCATACAGGGGTCCAAATGAGACACCTTTTTGAGAACTGCTCAGTTGAAAAAATAAATGAAACATATGAGGACTAAGAGGGTTCCAATCTAGTGTTGTTCAATTCATATGTTATAGTTGTCTCCAAACTGTGGCCGGTGGCCAGATGCAGCTCTTTGCTTGCTTTTATTCGGCCCTTGGGATATTTTTCCTCCCACAGGGGCATAATTCCTGTCATCAATAATGGAGCACTATTTCTCCCACTGACACCATAAATGGGGCACATTTCCTCTCACTGACGCCAACAATGGGGCACTTTTATTCCCACTGACACCAACGATGGGGCACTATTACTCTCACTGACACCAATGGTGGGGTACTATTCCTCTCATTGACACCAACGATGGGGCACTGTTCCTTTCACTGACACCAACGATGGGGCACTATACTTCTCACTGACACCAACAATGGGGTACTATTCCTCTCACTGACTCAATGATGGGGTACTATTCCTCTCACTGACTCAACGATGGGGCACTATTCCTCTCACTGACTCAATGATGGGGCACTATTCCTCTCACTGACTCAACAGTGGGGTACTATTCCTCTCACTGACTCAACGAAGGGGCACTATTCCTCTCACTGACTCAATGATGGGGCACTATTCCTCTCACTGACTCAACAGTGGGGTACTATTCCTCTCACTGACTCAAAGATGTGGCACTATTCCTCTCACTGACTCAACAATGTGGCACTATTCCTCCCACTGATACCAATGATGGGGCACTATTCCTCCCACTGACTCAACGATGGGGCACTATTCCTCTCACTGACTCAACAATGGGGCACTATTCCTCCCACTGATACCAATGATGGGGCACTATTCCTCTCACTGACTCAACTATGGGGCACTATTCCTCCCACTGATACCAATGATGGGGCACTATTCCTCCCACTGACTCAACGATGGGGCACTATTCCTCTCACTGACTCAACGATGGGGCACTATTCCTCCCACTGATACCAATGATGGGGCACTATTCCTCCCACTGACTCAACGATGGGGCACTATTCCTCCCACTGATACCAATGATGTGGCACTATTCCTCTCACTGACTCAACGATGGGGCACTATTCCTCTCACTGACTCAACGATGCGGCGCTATTCCTCTCACTGACTCAACGATGGGGCACTATTCCCCTCACTGACTCAGCGATGGGGCACTATTCCTTTCACTGACTCAGCAATGGGGCACTATTCCTCTCACTGACTCAATGATGGGGCACTATTCCTTTCACTGACTCAACGATGGGGCACTAATCCTCTTACTGACTCAACAATGGGGTACTATTCCTTTTACTGACTCAACGATGGGGCACTATTCCTCTCACTGACTCAACGATGGGGCACTATTCCTCTCACTGACTCAACGATGGGGCACTATTCCTCCCACTGATACCAATGATGGGGCACTATTCCTCCCACTAATACCAAGACGGCAGGACAATTTCTACTCCCAATGGCTCCAGTCCGGCCCCTTAAAGTCTGAAGGACAGTAAGCTGGCCCTTTTGTTTAGAGACCCCTGGTTTACAATAATGTTTTCTTTTTTCCTAAAAACAGTATGCTTGTTATGCGATCGGGAAAGATGTCCAGGCCATGAAAGCCGTGGTGGGTGAAGAAGCCTTGTCTTCAGATGATCTCTTGTATCTGGAGTTCTTGCAAAAGTTTGAGAAACAGTTCATTTCTCAGGGTA